TATCAGAGGTTTGGATAACTTAATAAAATGAGTAAAAATGAAAGCAGAAATGCAGCAATCAAAACCTTCACAAAATAATACATATATTATTCAAATGCAACATACAAAATATACAGAATTGAAAAATGAAGAAAAACATTTTCCATTAAATGACTAAAATTTGAAAAATGGTTGAATTGATGTACCAAGTTGAGAGCTTGACACCTTGATTTACCATATCACAATACCTTGTGAATATAAAAGGGCTAGACAAAAGACACAGTAGCCTAGTACACAGTAGGCTGTTTTACACCTTTTGGGCCTGCAAATGTATATATTGGATAGCAGACTAGTAAATGAACAGAAAGTAAATCATATAGGAGCTTTGAGAAAGTGCCTCACTCACTTATCATCTACCAAGTCATGATCAAGTATAATACCGTACTAAAAACAAACATGCTAAATTTACTTTAAAACAGTTGATAATTGGCATCCATAAACTGCATATAATGTTCTACTGTGTACGCACAAGGAAGTTATTAACACAGTACTTGAATTGTGTCAATTCCCATGACTCAGTGCTCACAGACAATGTTCCAAATAAACATGGCTGCCAAACACAAAATTTTATGATGGCTACTGGATGGTCTAAATATAGCAGTTCTGATTTTGAGATGGATTTTTTAAGTACTGTAATATTATTTTTTTTAACCATGCTAGTTAAGTTTTGTCCACACTATCAAATTTTATGCACCAAATACCACAACTGTGATATGCCCATATTTGGATGTAATATGACATCACCACATCTAGACTGGGTTCCAGCCCCCAATCTTTTTCTTAATCTGTTGAAATGCTTAAGAATAAATCGATTTTGGCACAAATGACATTCCATATTACTTATTTGCATGGCGTTCCATAGTATACTTTTTCTGAGATTAGGGATTAATTCTCATCAAAAAAGTTTCTCAACATAAACTGACGCTGGTGGCGCTTTCCGAAATGCGCTAATACTACGAAAAATCCATAAATTAGAGAATTGTGGCAAGTCTACACCACATCATGCCCATCACATCACACAAAATTGTCACATAAGTTATTCTTGATAGTGTGGGTAAAGTTTTAGGGAAAGATAATTTATCTTAAATGGATCAAACAAATTTTTCTTTACATCTTTTATTTTTTTTTTTTATAGATGACAAACATACAATTTTCTTTACATTTAATCATTTGTAATAATATGACTATTATTGTATTTTCAATAGTATTATTATTATTTTGGTAGATACATTTTAAGCATAATTATCTATTTCATAGTTCTTTTGGGACATAATTTCTCAATTATATTTTGTTTTTCAGTATCTTAAGGAGCAGTGTGGCACCAGCGCCTGAAATCTGGGGGAGGGGGTGGTCCCCGACGAGAGCAAAGTGGGCGTGATCGGGTGTCGGCTGAAAAATATGAAAATTTAGGTGTTTCTGATGCTTACATATTCGAGATTATATTTATAGATATTCTACTAATATGTAGAAAATACATATAATTTTTGTCTCCTTGACGAATTGTGGTTTTTCTTCTCTTCTGCGGGGGGAGGGGGTGAAGGTCATTAAAATACAAACACCTCCTATTTTATTAATCATTCAGCCAACTTCAAGGTTCATATGCATTACTGTCCTGACATGTTAATTTTTTTTTTTTTTGTATTATACCTAGCACTGCTCATTTATATTATCCTGTATCTTCTGGTACTCAGTAACAACCCATTTGTTTGGAAACTAAACATGACAAAATTTGAGGCATAATTGTTGGAACCGTTGCCCTCTATAAATACAATTTTAAAAAAAGGAAAAAAATCCAGAAATATTATTAATTAGTATTAAATAATATCCAGATCGGTGTAATAACATTTAATATCATTATTCTAATATTTTAATACAACTTTAATAAACTCTTTCTTTTGAAATGCACTGAAGTACAGTAGTAAGAATAAATTCTGGGTTCCAAACCAGTTACAATAAAGCTAACAAGATGTCGAGAACCAACAATTGCATCCCATTCAAAGGTGTCCTACCCAAGGACACAAGTCCAATCCCTTACCACTGAGCTATACTCATGAGCAGGAGATTTGAAATCTCTGAAATGAGGTTATAGATATCTGAGTGTTTCAAAACAGTTCTCAAATTATCGTAAATTGGTAAACTTCTCCTGTAATCAAAATAAAATTCTGGCTTGTTAAAGTGGCACATTTCTTCAGGCAGACAATGCAATTCCATGGAATCTGTGCGACTGGTTATTTTAAACGATAATCCTCTCAAGTTGCTATTGAGTCTGCCCGAGAAATGCCCGAAATCGTAAGCTTTGAAGGCTGATTTCTCAAATGTTGTTCTTCAAACAGCTGTATGTGACTGGTTTAGCTTGTCTTTGCCACAATTATTAATTTTAATAATTATTGCTTTTTAAAATTATTATTAATATTATATTATTATAATTACTTTATTATTATCATTTAAGTAGAAGAAATTGAGCACATGAACAAATAGAGGGAAAATATTAATAAATTCTTTGTTGTTTTATTTATATACATATATTTTTGGCTTTAATTTTACAGTTGTTAAAGTACTGTACACTTGAATGCCCAGAAGACACCATCAGAACTTTGCCTAATTCTTTAACATTGGAAGGCAATCCTACACAAACCATTGGCAAAAACAAAACTAAATAGAAATAAATACAAAGTATTGGTTTTACAAAGTTTACATGAGTTTTGCCAGTACAGACTTTATATATTTACATCATATTTCACTTTATCAGAACTATGGGAAAATGTTAAAGTACATTGACATCATAATGTTTCTTCAAATGCAAATGAGCGTCGAGTAGCATCAATGAGCATGGGGGAGACCCCTTTCCTTGTGCCGCATGCCACTTGTAGCATGGATAAAACTTTCTGTGATATGCACTTCCGGTCTTTCTCCTCCTGTAACAGAAAAATAAAAGAGAATTTGGTAACAAGGATGAGCACCATACATTCTCATCACTACATTCTCATCAAAATCTGGATAACCATCATTATAAATTATTATCAGCATTATCATCTTTTAAATTTTGATTACTGTATCATCACATCACAACATTAACAATAGTTTAAGATAATCTTCATCATTATCATCTTTAACATATTAAAACAAGTTTATACAGTATACAGTTATTTTATAAAAGTAAATATATGCTGTAACAATATATGTGATGTCATCATGACCATATTTAGGCATGTCGAATGTTTTTGTCAAGTAAAATTTGATATTCTTGTCATCACATTTTGGACCATATACTAAGCCATAAAAACTTGCCTTTGAACCCTACCAGAGATTTCTTTATTCCGGGGCTTCATTGACCCCTGGGTTCAGACCCCTCCGTCGAACGTGTCAGCCTACTTCTGGCTCCACCACCGGGCTTAATGTCGCCATTAAAACATCAATCAAGTAGAGATAGGACAGTTTATTAGAGTCTAAGAGAGAGATTGTTGTAGAAGTGGTTTGGCGCAGCAGGAACGGTTTGGTTTCCCAACCTTGACATCGGGGGTTTTAATCCCTCGCTAGTGCATTTCACTTGTGTCCATCGTTCCAATGACTGGGGTAATAATTTGGAAAAGCACTCTGAGATTGTGCGCTATACAAAAACCTACTCATTACACTATTTTTATTAATTATTATTATTAAATTGTTATTTTATGCTATGCTTGATAGGTATAATTGCAGTCAAGCTCATCAAGCTATAACAAGTGTGACTGAGAAAACCCTATATTAGAATGAAACTTTAAAATCTTACGTCAAAACTTGCGCAAAACATAGGCATATGATAGGCATCACACAGGCCTGTGATGTTCTTGATATCAGCGCCATGCAGGCTTGGGTTGTTGGCTTGGAGAACAACACAACATGACCGGCCCAGGAAATACTCGCAATCGAGGGTCTTCACAGAGGCTTCTACATTGCTGATGCTTTCAACAACAAAGAAAACAATGAAATCCTTAATTGAAATGCAAATAATGCAAGGGTTAAAGGTCGGTAAACAAACTATAATAAATATAACTACAGTATCATCATCATCATTAGCTAGGGTCGGTCCACTGCTGGACGAAACCCTCAGCATTTTGACACCATATCTTGCGTTCACTCTTCTTCTTTCTTCTTAACCATATGGCAAGACTTTTTTTATAACTTGTTTAGCGAACCCGTCGCCCACCAATAATGATGATTACAATAACAAGATATGTATTTTTCTCCTTAATTATATAAATTTAAAGCATTTAACTATCAATTTACGTTGTTTACATTCACCAATAAAATTTTATATTTATTTATATCCTTGGTCTGGATGTGTTTGGCAAAACAATTTTTAAAATCAGAAAACAAAATTTTATTTTTAATTTTTTCCCCTCCTCCACCGACAATCTTTAAAAAACACAAGTTTGCAAGACAAGGTACAGAACCGTATATAAAAAAAAGTCTTGCCTAACTATACTATATTACAGCTTACCTCATTCTGTTTGTTAAATCAAGGATAAAAATGACATAATCTATATTTGGTCTGGTGTTATCATGGTCTGGCGGCAATGGAAGACTGGTAGCTGTACGACTTTACAGAGAATTAAAAAGAAAAATAATGAGGAATTCATGGACATGATGTGACAAGTTTATGACATTGAATTAATGTTGTGGTGTGAGTAAATCTGGTATCTACTAGGCTAGCTTCAACCCCTAGATGTGAGCATATGAGGCTCCTCATAACAAAATAAGCAAGTTGTTCAATAAAATAGAAGACACAGGTTGTAGGTTGCCACAAGTAACTTCTCACACAGGGTATCAGATTCATTCAATATGTATTATGTACTGCATATACATACATACTACAGCAGGAGGGAAAACCCTGTGTAATATTAACACCTCATGTGTAACTATATCATATCAAAACAGCAACTAAACTGACAACCCTCTCAGATGTGTCTTAGTGACTGCTGAGGGGAGGGTGTTTATGGTCACCCAGCAGCAAGAAAACCCAAACCCTGAAGACCATTAACTAGTTTAGGAATAGTTTAGCCTCATCGTTATCATGATTATTATTTTTTATTTTATTATTATTTGTATTTTCTTGATTGGCCTGTATTATTTCTGTGTAAACTGCATAGGGGCAATTTGCAATATGGCATTATTATTATAAAAGTAAAAAAGTTTGTTTCCTGTTATTTTCACACTACTATTCTATTTTTGGCACGTATTCTATCCCACTATCAAGTTCTTTCTGACAGACTTGTTTTGAATCTCCATATAATGCTATGATGATGTCATCACATCCATATATGGGCATAATGACATATTATACCTATATATGGGCAAATCACAGGTATTTGTCATAGACCTATAATCTAGTGTAAATTACATATTGCTACTTCAGCTTGTGTTTACTGCATGACTTTCTTTTTTTTCCAAAAGAATTTGGAATTAGAAGAATAGATGAAAAATTGGAATAAGAAGAAATACTTACATCTGCAATGAAAATGGCGCTTTCTGTGACATGATTGACAATGCAAATTTGTGTTTTCCTAAACCTTCAGCACCAACAAGCTCAAAAGAAAACAAAGTAAATTAAATTATTGCAAACAATTCTATTTGGAAACTGCACCTTTACACTGGTGGCTCACATGTGCGGTGCATCCATATTCAACAAATACAAAGCACAGAAATAAAAAAAATAAACCAAGGCAACAAAAAAAATATTTTCAAAAGAAAAATACGTAGCTACATCTAATACCAACAACTGACAAGAACTTA